AGTAGTAGTAGTAGCAGTAGTAGGAAAAGCAGGAGCAGTAGCAGCAGTGCACCACCCCAAGCCAGGACGACAATTATCAAATTACAAGACGAATACACCGTGATGAACACATAGGTCGAGGCCCTCCATGTTAACTCGCAGGGACAAGAAGCCATTTCCGGGATGCATGTGACGCATGTGGCGGTGGTCGGCGAGGCGATGGCAACCTGATCACAGGCCAAAAGGTCATTTTGGGAACTTGGGGGGTGCTCAGATCCAAATGTCATGCTCATGGGCAGACAGAGAGTGGCCAGCAGGGAATTCAAAAACTCAGACACGATCAGCATGCTCTGCTTGGACATACAGTGACTTGCTGCGATGCTGGGTCGCTTCCCCCAGCTACAACTCAAGGACATCAGTGGCGAAGAACCAAGAAACTCACGAACCACATGTGTGGTGAAATTTGTTGAATCATCTGGTCTGAAGGAGATGACGTAAGTCGCAAAACATCATACCTTTTGCCTGGTGCACTGTACTCTTTCACAAAGCAAAGTTTCCAGATGAACCACGATGCGAGCAACAGGTATCTTGGCTGTCGGGTTAGGGCTTAAGCTGGAGCGGATTGGAGACATGCCTGTCCTGCAGCCCGGAAAGCCCCTGAGTCGGGTTGTGTTGCCGAGGAACGTAGGCTGCCATGCTTCGTGCACGGAGTACTGCGCTGCATTCATACGGGGCTGTCTCACCTGTTCCAAATGGTCGCCTTGCCCATGGATTGCCAGCTTACCCTACAGCGCCTCTAAGAGAAATCAGTTGTGTTTGACCACAGTTTTAGGCCCTTGGCTCTGGGAAGCGGTGGCTACAATGTCAAAGGCTCTTGAGCTGAACAGCTCCACTGGCATGGAATATTGTGACATGCTTCTTAGGAGCTTTATTTCCAGCCCCTGCACTCTCGGGCTGCCTTTTCGCCGGCCGAAACGGCTTGGCTAGCGGGACCTGGCATTTTCACCTTCCCGCAGTGAAACAGGAGCTGGCTAAACCCAATTTCAATCTGCATGGGAAAACCGCTGCTGCAAACATAGGGGCTCTAGATACCAGCATACATCAGATCCAGATCTTCTGCAGATTGCTGACGTAGCTAGGCTGGCACAGAAACTGGCCCACTTTGGACGCCGTGCCAAGCGAGATCGGATTCATCGAGTCTGGTTTAAAATAAAGGCAGTCTACCACCAAATTCAGGCCGAAAGAACGGATAAGAGTCTGCCTCGGCCCTGTCTAGAAGCCTGGTGAATGTGGGTTGGGCTGCTAGACGGTGGTAAAGTGCAGAAAAGTGCCGGACCCATCAGGATGCCTTTCTTGAAGCCTGCTGATTAAGCTGTTTGCCACATACGACTGCAGCCAGTGCTGAGTTGGATGAGCTTCTGCATGATCATGACGCAAGCATCCGGTACTCGCATGTCTGTAGACTTGCATGCTTGCATTTGCCAACTTTGTCTAAGTTTCCGGCACATTCTCTGTGGGGGCTTCAGGTCTCGAGACTTTTCGTGTCGCCTGACCTGAGCAAGCGAGGAGGAGCATTGCTTTCCATGCACTGGCTGCCAAGCCTGTCGACTTTGTTACCATCACTGTCTGGGCAAAGCACTCCACCGACATCTACACGTTGGAGCCCCGAAGGAGAGAAAGAAAGGCAAGGGAAGAAGACCCTATTTGGGATGTCTCCCCACGTTCAATCCAAGGCTTCTGGCGCCAAGGTGCGCGTTTCAAAGCAAAGCTGGACAGAGCAGCACTCCGAAACGCAATACAACACTGCTAGATTGACAACAAATCGCTGTCGCCTTTTTCCCTTCTTTCTCTTGGCGAGACAAGCTTGTGCAAGATGCAAATAATATGCAGTTTCTGCTATTCAGTAGAATCAAACAAGAGCGAACGCCAAAGGTCCGTCCCTGATAGACAAGCCTGAGGACGAGTATCAAGTCAGCTCCAGCAAAACAGAACTCTCTCGAGAAAGACTTCGGTGAAGGCAAGGACCACCGCCGTTGTTCCGCAAGTGGGCACTGCCAACTGCAGGTTGTCCTCAAATGCCGTAGGTCATGCAAGTGAAATTCGACTGGATAGGAGGGTTGTGGAATGTAGTGCAAAGCTCGAATGCGCCCCACTCTGGTCCACACTTCAAAGCCGTTTGTGGACAGGCATTCCACGAATCACATGGTAGTAGCTTGGGTCATTGTCCTGAGGATGGGCTCCCCGGCATGCCCGGTGGTGACCGCCTTCAACCCAGGGCGGTGTCGAGAACACCAATGCCCTCTGGCCGCATCCACAACTCATAGCGAGAAAGGCCAGAGTTCTCAATACCCTTGCGAAGGTTGTTCATGTCCAAAAATATCTGCCGGCATCCCTCAATTCCAGTGACATCAATCACTTCGAAATTTGAAGCTGAAATGTCGGTATGGTTTCGCCCACAGCGGGCTTGGTCCATTGGCTCGGTAGTAGGGGGATCTCATCGTGATGGACCGGTGGACGAGGTCGTTGTCGTTGTTGTAGCTCTCGCCGCAGCACACGCAATGTTGAAACTCCCCGGCCCCAGCGGCTGCCTCTCCTTTGAGCGCAAACTTCCCCTGCTGTAACAGTGATCAGAAACGTGTCAGGGGCTGTGTTGCTGTTCACATGCTTGTCCACGTTACCACCACCAGAATTGCATGAGATAGACTCATACACCTTTACACACTTGTTATGTTGTTGCTGGCACTATCTCCAATATCCACCCGCCTGCAGCTTCTGCCTCCATCTTCGCCAAGCTCTGCGCAGGTCGTGGCACAGGTGCATTCGCAGCCGCAGTCTCCGTAGCGAAAAGAGCCACGGCAACGACCGCTGCAACACCGTCAAAACGTCTCGAGTCGGTAGTCCGCTGGGGCTGGAACGAGCCAGCTGGACAATCACCTTGTGGCAGCCTTTCAAATTGCTGAGATCTTCTCGAAGAAATCCTTTCTCAAGGAGCTCCATGCTTATTGAGCAAGTCGTGTTGGCGGCATTCGATGCATTTGCTGCGCACAGAAGCGTCAAGATCCGAAACATCAGATAAAAGGAATGACACGATGCAGGAAACTGCGTAGCAAAGACTTCTTGGCCGCTGACAAGCATTGAGCCCAGCGGCCATGAGAAAGTACGATGCATGAAACTGCAGGCTGCTACTCGCGAGCAGATCGTCGGCTTGGCTGATGTATGGGGCGGCGGAGAGCACCTCCTCTCCTCCCCTACTGTTCCGATGCTGGCTGTTTCTTCTGGGCTAGTCTTGGGCCAGTTACTCCGCAAGCTTCAACCACAAAACGTGTCAGTACTCAGGATCCCGGCCCATGGGACGCGTGGGGTTGCGGGGCGCCCAAGCTCTGGCTCAGGCTGCCTGGCTCGCAGGAATGATAGAGAGTACAAGAATTACAGTCTGTGCGAAGCATCCATCGTCAGCCCCTGAGTTCGAGTTCGGGTTCCTTCAGCCAAGGCACTTGCTCCGGCTAAAAAGTACAAAGCACACAGGTCCACGGTTCACTCACCTCTGGGACTTAGCCTCTCAGGCGGTGTCGAAGGACGTTGAACAATGTCACGCGTCTCTACGCAGGAGCATGTATGTGAGTGAGAGAGAGAAAATGTACTAGTGTATTCGCCTACATGCCGCTATGTTGCGGCATGTATGCAGATCCCTCCATCCACTCATGTACTGTAAATCTGCACCAGGATAACATTGGGCAGGAGCTCAGCCCCAAACATTTCCAAGTGCTTCCGATTCATTCCGATTCCTCTTCCCAGAGTCGCAACACCAACCCTTGGTCTTTGAGGTTTGCTGCACTGATACGAGTACACAAAGACGCACAGCCCTCTGCCATGCCAGCAACACCTAAGCCGGAAGTCATCAGTCCTGCGACACAGATGTGATCAAATGGCGTGCGTGCACGCAGAAGCTCGCTCCTGTCGAACTGGATCCGACGGTAGTGCTGGAGCCTCCCATGCACGGAGCTTAGTCTTGCACAGGCTGCATGCCGGCTGCTCCGACTACAGGACTTCAAAGCTCCGGAAGCTCGTTTGGAAACTTCGCAGGGACTTGATGCGAACTACATGATCTGCGGAGCGCGGCGGGCCTTGCCCTTCTGGAGGGACCTTGAAAGGCAAAGCTCTGGCACTCAATTGACTGAAGCATTGCAAAAACGGCAAACTGCCTGCATCTGTCTGCTCTCCCGTGCGAATCTGGTTCCACTTTGCGTGCAAAGTTTCAGTAGCCTGCCTTGTGGACCGTCCGCTTTTGCTTTGGCAGCGGCTGCAGGCCTGTCAGATACCACGTGGAACGTTGCCAGCCAAGACGACTGCATTGTCGCAGTCCGTGAGGTGCGCGCACCGAGGTCAGATTTAGGTAGGTGCCGGTGCTAGTTATCAGATCGCCGTGCTTGCACAACACAGGACGTCAGCGAATCGTCCAGCAGCAGCTGCAGTCATGCTCGAAATCAGCTTCCGTTCGGGCCTCCAGATCCTTCTATAGGTGGAAAAGTGAGGTTCGTACCTGCTGCTGCTTGCTAGCAACTGACAGTGCTCAGTTTATTCTGCAAGCGAGCACGTGCATCATGTATCTAGTCACATACTTACTCTGCAGCCATGTAAAGTTTGTGTACTCCACAGCAGCACAACCACATTATCTTCACAGCTGCTGCTGGTCATGCAGCTTGCAAGCTCCAGCATGCTGCCTGTGAAAGTGTGAAAGCTGAATCCTGCTAGTGTGCCAGATTTGCAAATAAGTATTAAGTAAAATGCACTCACATGCAGTGGCTGCGTGCGAAGCTCTCGCATGCCGGTGCTGTCCCCAAAACAAACAGTTGGGGTCCGGCATGCCTCCGCCAGCTGTAGAAGCCGCAAGGCCTGAATGAGATCTGTTGTACAGTCTGTACATCTGAAGAGGCCAAGCAGACACAAGATGAGAGCCTCCAGTCGCGCCGAAACCGCCTGAGCTTGGAGCTTCGATGTTTCAAGCAGATCCGAATGCAAGTGACCCTTATGGCCTGTGGAGCTCATCTGCACTCCTCGCCGACCTGAGAGGATGGGCGGAAGCATAGTGGCAGGCTCCCGCCGCTCATGAAAGCTTGCTCTGCTCGGGCACCGAAGCTCTCGGCTTTACAGTGCCACCACAATTCTGAAAAAACGATCTTACGTCGGCTCTACTTCATCTAGCTCTACTCCAGAATGTGTTGACCTTCTTGATTCCCGACACTGAGCCGGTACAACCCGGCTGACTCGGCTTTGCTGGAAACCCTGAGATCGGTACTTCGATGACTGTCGGCGGCTCCTCGTGTCCTAGCGAGGCAGTAGTCTCATGTCGATGCTGGCGAGCATCCAACATCATAACAAGCGCAAGGGGCAGTCGAACTTGAGCAGATGCACACAATCTGCAAATCTGCTGTTGTCAGCGCACTCCTTGAACTAGTGGATGCCTGGGCTTCAGGCCTCCGGAGACGCGAGTAATTGCCAGCTGCTAGCTTGCGATCGTAAACGCAGTCGCTGTACATCCTGCAGAGCCCTTGTGAGGGCCAGGCACTCGCCCGGCAGCGCCGCTATCCCGGGGAGGCCTAGCAGCTTACAGCAAGAAGCGAAAGACAAAGAAAGAGAGATTCTTGCACCCTGCAGGGTCTTGAATCGAATACGTTGGCTGTGCCATGCAGTCATGAGATGCCATGGCTGCGGCTCGTGACAATCGTATGACAAAGTGCTGGCTCGTAAGGCTTGAAATTTACGGCTTTGGCATGACACAGAAAGTCTTGCTCTGCTTAGCTGTAGCATCGCTTGAGGCAGGAACTTGGCGTAGCATTCCAGGATCCATTCCTGTGGAGCTTTCAGGCTGCGACTTGAACGGAAGCTTCTGAGAACAGCCACCTTTCACTGGAATTAGGTAGCCTCGCGCACTCCGTTGTGCGAGTTTGTGTGGACACTCGTCGGACCGATTCCTGCTGCAGCGCGTCTTCAGGGCTGAAGCGCTCTCGCGCATCCCATTGCCTGGGAATCCGGTCAGTGCAGGGGACTCTTGGCCTCTCCGCATGAGGTCCCTCAAAGCAGCAAATTGGGAATGGCTTCAGTCTCGGGTTCGATCATGGGCCGCTTGTGCAGAGCTTCGATTTTGGCGGTTTTTGATGGCATGACAGGATACACTTGCTGAAAGGCTCCCAGACTCCAGCCATCCAGTGGTCAAAACGAGTCCGAACAACAACTGACAACAACAGGAATCCGTACAAGGGCCACCGCAGCGACACATCTTGCCATCCCAATAAAGCCTTAGGGATGCACAAGCAGCCGAGGAGGAAGTCCACGAACCTGGCGTGTCAGAGCAGAAGAAACTCCGTCACGGCTCTGCCTTTATTCCAATGTGAAAAGCTCAGCTGCTGCCCGGTTCTCTCAAAATTTGACAGCGTGACTTCCCCTCCGAGGTACGCAAGACCGACTGCAGCTCCTGGAAGCAAGATGTGCTTCAGGTTTGCAGGCCTGAGACGGAGTCCTGTTGCGTGATGCCTTGTAGCAGTGCAAACAGGTCCACATCATTGCAGTACTGAGCACATATCGCCAACTGCGGCATGTCGGCTCAGAGACTGGTTGTGTCTGGTTGAGATGATGCCTAAACATAAAAGTCCGCCTTGGATAACCCGGCGACAGAATCGAACATGGGCCTTCGCCCCAGGTCTTCGAAGCTTGCCCCGCGAGTTGGGAACCAGGCGCGGGTTGCCATGGGGATCGAAAAACCTGCGTCGCGACATTCATAGAAAGCAGGCAGCACCTTCACGTCGCTTATGTGGCCGGGCACAACGCTGAATGAGCTGCAGTTTGGTCTCCCTGAATCTGTATTAGCGAGATGCCACATGCCCTGCCCCGGGGACTCTGCTCGGGCGGCTTTCTCCAAGCCGCGAAAACGACTACCCGGCGTCCTTTGCACCGTTTCGGATAAATCGAGGAGCTCAAATAAGGGCAAGCTTTGTCGTCAGTGGCAGAAACAGGCCAGGCCGCAAACGCAGCACCAGAAAAAGCTGCACCACACTGCAAGATCTCGCTCAAATTCCTCCTCGGCAGCCAGGAGTGAACAAATCTGCCAGTCCCTGGGCTGGATGATTCTGGATGCATACCGCTGGCTTGCCTTACAATCTGATTGTGGACATGCACTGTGTGCAACCACCGCTGAAGAAGCCGAGCAGCAGTGCTCCGTTCGCCTTACGGGTGCTGAACACTTCTTCACATGCAGGAATGAAATTGCACAAGGGTTCTGAAGATGCTCGCTACCACGATTTCCTAGAGGAAAACTCCTCGGGGTGTGGTGACTTGTGGGGACGGTTTCTCCATTCCTTTGAACTCTTCCTGCTTGGCCTCTGTATGATCTGCACAGCCAAGTTGCTTGGATTGGTCTCTGGCTGGTCGAGCGTGATTGTCGCGGCCGACGACGCCTGAGGTCAATTCGATGTTGTCTATCTGTCGATGTCTATCTCAAGCGGTACAGACAACAGAAGAACTATACAACGTTGGACCTACACTTGACCCTTGAGTACCCGTACTGCAAGCAATGAAACGAGCACGGCTGGTTTGGACAATAACTGCCGCCGATCCGGATCAGCGGAAGCAGCCTGTGCGGAGTAGCCTCGCCACCTGGTGGCTGCAATGCGGAGCATGTTTCAGCTTGTGTACAGCAGGCCTCTTCGTAGCCAGCAGGAAGTCCTTGGACAGCGGGCCGAACGACACCGTGCTGTACATAATAATGACACGGGAAACCTACTGGGCAAGTTTAATTTTCTCATATCGTCCCAAAACCGGAAAGCAAGAAGCAGGGGTGGAACGGATCAGGCCTTCGTCTCTCTCGCAAGTTGTCCTTCTAGGTTACTCTGAGCAGCTAATGTGCGTGCCACACCCTCAGGCCAAAGCTGACTGAGTCTGCGAGGTTTTTCTTTTCACTGCGTGTGAAGCCATCGCCACCTTGTCGGAACAACGAAATGCTCACCAAGACTGTCTGTTCGTGTTCAGCTTGTCAGCCTTCTTGGCCTTGTTCATGAGGCTGTCCTGGAAAAGCTCCAACCTTGGATTTACGGAGGTCCTGCAATGACATGTTCCTCGGCAAGCACAAGATACACGGAACAGTTCTGAGTAAGGAACCGCCTGTTGAGCAGGTAATGCTCCTTAGCATCGGGCAGGGCAACAACGACCGACTCAAAGGAGCATGTCCACGCACCTATACTTTTGTCTGTGACAGAGCTGTCTCTTCTCCATAAGGCTCCAGAAATCAAGTTGCCGCTAAGTGGAAGCAGAGACAAGCCACATCGTCTTCGGAAGACGTATCATCCCATCCGACAGCCTGGCAACTCGCAAAGACATGCCATGCCTGCAGGGAGTACTCGGATCTGGAGTTTTGCAAGTCTCGATCATCGCCTGCTGCAGTTTGCTTAGGTGAGGCAGGAACGAAGGAGCCATATAGCGGGGAATCTTCATGCTTGTTGGTTTCATGCGCCCCTGCAACGCTGTCCAAGTCTACATCCCATGTAGCTTCAACGCGGTTTCCCTCGGCCTGCGCAGTGGCTTTCTTTGTGGCGCTGATTGCCGACCTGCTCGGTATTCATGAAGGTCGATGTATGTCTTCTAGTGGTTCGCCTCTTATGATTCTAGGATTCTAATCAACTCCTGGCACATAAAGCTCGGGCAGGGACAACATCACCAGTGCACATTGCTTTGCTGAGCGAAACGTGAACGGAGAAATACACACATATATAAAGGGTGAGAGAGAGAGAGAGAGAGAGTGTGTTGGATGTCTTCGGGAAGTTCAAGGCCACCAAACACACCAAACCTAGGAATTTCAGCACTTCCTCGGCGACCTAGACAGTCGCTGGGGAAGTCAGTCCTATGCAAGTATGTAACCTTTCAAACAACTTCACAGTCCCCAGCCTTCAACCGGTTTTTCACATTCGAGTGAACGAGAAACGAGCCCGTTTGCAGTCGACAGATGTTGACAGCATGGGATCACTGCAATGCGCTCACGGGAGCTTTTGAATTTTGTTGAGGTTACTGGCATGCGGACAGATTTGAAGGCGACGCTGACACTGCAGTTTGAACGTCGAATTTGAACTCGCTCAAAGCAGAATTTCAAGCTCTGTCCAAGCTTCGCTATCAATTTCCAAATCCAAGACTAGTTGTGATTTCACTTTCGCGCAGGGGTCGGTAGATGATCCGGACATGTTGGGGGCACTGCGTGCCTCTGGCAGAATTCTGGGAACTGCGTCTTGCCTTTGGCTCTCGCTTCGACAAGTCCTGATAAGACCTTCAGTCCTCAACTCCAAATTCTAGACCTTCGGGGCATCTGCAAGCGCTTGATGACGGATCGAATTTCGAGAATTTCAACTTGAGATCTGCGCTACGAAAGCTAGAGCGAAGAACAGCAAGGGAGCAGCGCAAGCTGGTCATTTTCACTATTGACTTGCATGTGCATCGTGAAGAAAAGGCTGGGTTTTCCGATCTGAACGACCGCATCCGACCATAGACATGAACACTCTCGCATTATGGCAAGCTCTAAGGCAGCGGAACACGGAGCTCGTTGGAGTTCTTGACAGATATCACACTGATGGAGAAAACCTCCGAAGGGGTGTTGAGGGGGAGGTAGGGAGTCCTGCAGAGGGCGGGGGAAGGGCCCCCCACCTCCCCCTTCCACTAAATCAATTCACGCAACCTAGATTGCTACAATCAAACTTACAGGAGAGGGGGCCCCCCCGCAGCCCGTTAATTCATTGGTTTTCATATTTTCAGTTAAGGTCCGAGGTCGCTTGTTGACGCGCCTGAACACCGGGAGAAGGCTTGTAAACGACAACTCTCGCAAGCTCCAACGAGCTAGCTGGAGCTAGCTTTCGTGACCTGGCCAGAACAAGCCAGTGCTGTCACTGGTACCAGTTTGCACTCAAGAAAATAATATGGATTAGGGGAGGAGAAAAACAGTACTGATCAGGAGGAGGAGGAGGAGCTCGCAGGACTATGGGTAGGAAGTAGGAGGTGTACTAGTACTGATACCGGATACCGGGATCGGAACGTTTTTCAGGCTAGAATGAAAAACATGCTCCAACAGCAGCAGAGGCTGCGCGGAGCGAGTTGTGTTTGAGACATTCCGTTTAATGTAAAGTTGCACTGTCTGCAAAAACCCATCTGAACAACTAGCTGGACTCTAACAACTAGTTAACCGTCAGGGGTGCTACTTAGCCCAGCCGCCCAAACCCCTGCGAAGATGTATTGCGTTGGGCGACCGGGAAAAGCTCCGTTTAGTCCTAGGGTTCGGGAAGGCGGCAATGGGAGGGACTATCCTAAGTGCGCATCATTCACACTTAATGCTGCAATTATCCTGCCACACCTTTGCCTCCACCGTCGATCGCAGTGCTTCGGAAAGTTCAGATCCGCCGTTCATCTAGAGGCAGAACTGAAGCTGCAAGCGAAAAGAAGCAACTCCTCGGTTCCTTCTGTCGCACGTTGCGTCGTGGCGTTGCTGTGCCCTGATCTCTGAAGCTACAAACTGAAGCAGACGTTGTTTTGCTTGGCGTCCTCTCCTGCCAAAGGCCCTTTCGAAGAAAAAGAGCCTTTGGCAGTAACCTGAGCGCACCAGCTCCGGATTGTTGCCTTGTGCGGCGTATGAGTCCATCTCCAAGGAGAGCGCAATTCTGGATTTGAGGGCATCCCGCTGACGTTTCTGCATGATGCTATTTCTTGGCCAAAACGAGAGCTTGAGATGCTCCCGGACTTGAGAAGCTTTGCACCGAAACGCACAGCTCCAACGGCTCCACCTTACGAATACAGAAAGTGTTGCCTATCGCTGCGAAGACTTGACTGCTGCCACTTGCTACTCAGGCAGCATTTTGCTTCGATGCGTTCGAAAGGACACTGTGCTGGCTCACATCGCAGCAAGCTGCTCGGCTCTTGCCAGGAATGCCAATACTTAATGCAACAGACACATGCGTAGTTGTTGAATCATGACTGGCCGTCGGCAAGCAGCCACGCTACCGACGTGAATATCGCCACCAGCCTCGCAAAATGCAGCTCGAACCTGGGAGCAAGGTGGATGGCATGATGGCGCATGCCGCTTTGCTCTGATTTTGGGTCAAGTCACGTCCGCATCAGCAGGGCGGCTCCTAGCTGCGAGCGGCTCTCGCCGTGGTGCTTGTAGAAGCCGCCTCGCGAGTCGCGACTCGGTTTCTCTTTGTCGCTGAGCGAAAGGCGGCAAGATGCGGCAAGGCGGCACCTGTGTCAGCGTCCAACAGCACCTGGTTCGGCATCGGGGAGAAGTCCTCGGATGCTCTGGCGACTCTGGCTCTTGTCGGTTCAAGCAAAGGATCTGCTGGCAAAGGGACTTGAGGGAAGCCAGTGACGCTGTCCCAGTAGCGATTCGCCTCCGGACTCCAGCATGGCATGTGCCACAGTAGCCACACATCTATACAGCCGCGGTGGAAATGAAAGGAGCATGCACAAACACATCTCCAGTCGCTCACATTCCGTGTCTTGGCTGTGACGATGCCCAGTCAGTGGCCGAATGTCGGAGCCCTCGCACCTGTGCTGTCTCGCGCCTGGACAGGACGAAGTGCAGCATTCCTGGCAGCTCGCATTGGGTGGCAGCATTGTGGCAGAAAGACAACTGCAAAGTCTTATCAAACCCGACTTGGCTCCGGTCGGGTTCCCAAATGGCGCTCCGCGGCTTCCTGAACAGCACTGTCAGGCTGACAAGCCCGTCGCTTTTTTGCGCTCTCTTTGTAGCTCAGGGAATGCCATGCCGACTCTGTGAAGTGAGGGGCCCGATGCTGAGGGTCTCCCTAGATCTTAAATCTTCCCAGGCTCGCGGCGCGTCCCCTGGAGTCTGTCCACCTGCGCATCATTTCCAAAGGCTCGAATTCGTGCTGTACACAGCCGAAGCAGAAGCTCAGAAACCACATAGCCTGTAGGCATTCCAGGTGACCACAAACACTTCGGTCTCCTGCAAGGCACAAGGGACGACACCGGTGAAAGATCAGCAGGGCTTGGCTGTAGGGCGATGCGTGTATGGGATGATACTGGTCTGCCAGCGCGTCTGGCTTCAGGTCCTGGCGCTGTATTTGGAATTTCAGCGCTGCGGCTTGTGCCAGCGCCGCCCCATGCGAGATGCCAGAAAATATCCTCAAAGCCAAGGTCAGAGTGAGAGCCGCCGGGCACCAAATCTACACGCAAATCGGCGTGATGAAGCAAGATCGTGCATGTGAACATCCTCATGAATCACTGCCAGTCATTGCCCAACCCTCTGCATGAAACTGTGGGCTGCCAGCAACTACTCGACGGACAAGATGCACTCGGTGACTGGGAAGCTCTTTCACCTGTGCTGGCAGAGGACACACAGTCGCACTGAATAGACTTACGACTCAAGTTGATCCTGCCAGTGAGTCTTGGGGAGAAGACAGTACGAGGCTAGATGATCATCCTGCATTGACATACGTCTCTCGTCGCCAAACTGCCCACTTGAATAGTCATGCCAGCTCGTGCATGTTCTGACGTGCCTCGACACATGCGAAACGTATCATGATGGTCGTCGGATCGAGTGAGAATTCGGCGAAAGCCAGCCCTCACAAGGTCACGGCATGGGATAGAATCACAAGCTGCCGCGGCGCAGTCTGCAAAAGCTTGTGGTAGAGCCTCTGGTCGCCATCTGGGTCCCACAAGCGATCCTCGTAATCAGAGATCTTGTTCTGCACAGACTAAAGGAAACGTGACTGAGACATGATGCAGCGCAGCACAGTAAACTCCCCAAAGTCCTGGAATACCCAGGCTTTACTGCATGATGTCAACAGTAACATTGTGTATCAGAGCATGAGCGAATGGCCAGCTACGACTTCAAACACCGCCAGCTCAGGCAAGAATCTAGCTTGACTTTGATGTACTCGGACACAGGCAGCATCATCCTTGGATGTCCACCGGAATCATCCCGCAGCCGCACAAAAGGTGTCGTGAATGGGGGATTTAACCTCGTCAGTCGCCAAATCTCTCTCCCATGGACGCATCGGTTGTCTGGTGACAGGCCCGCCGCGCACTCCTTGGAAGCACCGATTTGGATTGCTTTTTGGTGGCGACCTAGTCATCACGATGGTGTAATGGCTGAATAGTGCATATCAGAGAGTCATCCCGTTCTTTGCGAGGCCAGCACAGCAGATCTTCCTTTCAAGCACCATGTGCTGCGGATGGCACGGATGTCCGTCCATGAAGCTCGTGCAGCTTACCAGCCAATTCTTGATCAGTGCTTAGCGTCACGAACTGCGTGCGGTATCGGAGGGGTGAGAAGCAAACGTAGATCGTGCCTCAGGGAACAAGGCGGTTTTCGCAGCTGAGCTTCACATAATGTCAGTGCATACTCTGTGCTGTTTGCCAAGATAAACCATCCATTTTGCCGTGTCACGGTCGCCACCGGCAGAGCCGGCTACCCAAATGAAAGCAACAGCTTCCCCTCAGCTACGCACCACCAGAATTGTTCGCAGCTTCAGAAACCGGCCTCAGCCGCCTCTGCCTCACTACTTTCGACTGGCAGCATGGTTATCAACGCTCCAGAGTCTCCATTGCTGCTTTACGACATGCTTCTACTGCTGCTTCTTTGCAGCGGTTCTCGTTTTCGTCCTTAACAATAGCATGGGTCGTGGTGCATTGTACCCGTAACGATGCAGTCTGCCAACGTCTTGTGGCGGAAGCTTGATCTAGGAACGTTCACGAGTCTCCGACTGAAACTTTGAGCTTCGGTGCGGTACACTGTCGGCACTGTTCCATCCGAGCCGCGGTTTCCTGCCCGGTGCAGCAGATACAGATGCCAAGTGTCATCCCCAGACCTGGTCCAAGTCAGAAGCTTTCGTGTGGCCGCAAGCACAAGGTACACTGAGAGACGGTAGCGGCAACACCTAGTGTTGATGGTCCACATGCTGCAGCAAAAGCCACATCGCTGAGTGCAAATATCCGGCAAGGCCAACTTAATGGTACAGTTTCGATTTTCGTATTTCACCCGGCCTGTGCGGAATGCGCAGTTCAGCCCGCCTCACTCGGGCTAGGCTTTCTGGGCTTGCATGAACGTGTCGCTTTTTTGCCGGGTGTCGAAAGCTCGGTGTAAACCAAGCCAATGTTCGCAGCGCTGTTCAGCCCCTTCATGAAGCGGCCACGGTACTTCCTCGTGGCCAAGACACGGTTAAGAGTTGAGATGGCCGAGCTTAGTGGCACAGTCTGGGACACGCAGCTGTCGCCACTTCCAGCTCTTGCTTCCTTCCTGTTGCTGCCAAAGTGGCTCAGAGAAGCTGGTGCTAAGTAGGAGGGCCGTAAAAATCTGTCCACCATGAAGCAGAGCCTTCACGCTTCAAAACGACGGATCGACACGGAAGTGTGTGAACACGATATCACCCGCTGAGATCGGGGCTGGCCACTCTCCAGGGAGGGTCGTCGGCTCATCCATGAACGGTTGGGTCCCGCAGAAACAAACACTCTACATTCTTGCGGGGCTGTCAAAGGCTTCAACTTATATGGCAAGGAATGCAGGGAACAGGTGTGTGATAGGTTGGACTGGCGTGAGTGCCGGTAGGTAGCAGTGGAGCCATTCCTTTCCAATGGTCGACAGCGACTCTGCATTGTACCCACGATCCAGACCAAGTCTTGACACTGTCTTTGAGTCTATCAGAGCTGGAACCCAAGCAAGTGCCATGGACAAAGCGCAGCCATGCACGACTGCTAGTGGCAAGCAGAGCGAAGTTGAATTGGGATAGGCGGGGGAAGGCACATCTTGATTCGTGGGGCGCCGTCCAAGATCTTGGATGGTGGCACCTCATCATATCTTCCGCAGGCAAAGAGCCAACTCCCACTGACAAACGGCACTGTCAAGAACTAGAACATCTTGCGTGAGTTTGCAATCCCGAGTGACGAGGACCCGACGCCAAAGAGCTCCATAATACAGGCCAGTTGCTCCACCTTCGTGCAAACTGGCGAGGCTCTGTCGCAGCAGCGGCACAAGCAAATTACACAGGACTGCCTCGTTCTCACCAGGGAAGAGCGGATAGCCTGTGTACAACCTCGAACGATGATCCACGCAAGACAAGATCTGCAGGATGAGGCTGCACTGCGTCGCAGCATCTTGCACGTACTCATGTGAATTCAATGCCTGCCCGCAGGAGTTCGAGGTGGGATCTAAGGCTTGAGCTCGGCCAAGATGCATCCGAAAGACCACATGTCTATCGCTGTGTCGTACCTTGGGGCCAACAGCGATCCCGACATGACTGATCCAAACGAAGCCGGCTGTTATGTGCCATCGCCGAGTGGGGTGCCATGGGTTATGAGTGTATACTGCAGCTTCCTTCAAGGAACAATGAATCGCACAGGCAACGCTGTCAATCCTAACGCCCCAAACGTTGCCTGATTTGTTTGATGTCTTTTCAGCATGCTTGGTAAGTCTTCTGGCAGCTCATGCCACGTTCCGATGCATGAGTAGCAGAGAGCGGGCCACATTGCCGCAAGCGGCTGAGAAGCTGGCGGAATCCCCAGAATCACTTCCGGGGAGCGGTAAAACCGGCTCTGGATGTACCTCTAACAAAACGAGGTGGAGAGGTGGAGACAGGCACTGGCTGTGATCTCGGGCTGTCTCGGGCCTTGTTGTTTTGCGTCAGAGTTTGCAGTGCACAGAAGCCGCGCGCACGTGTAGACACGTTCATCCTCAAAGCATGAAGAGCCAAAGTCGATAACCTGCAGGTGCGAGTCGACTGCGGATGCCGAGAGTTTCCAAGAGATGCCAAGAGTTTCCAAGGATCTCCCCAGCCCAGCCCCAGCCCTGGCCTTGATGCCGCTCTTCGTCGGGTTCTTCAAGAGCACATTCTCCTGCAGCCAGCGTGGTGCAGCCAGCGTGTTCACTTCACTGGCTTCCTTGCCACTTTGAAGGCCCCTGCCGGCTTCAGATCGCAATGGATGATGTGCAGCTTTTTCAAGAACCGGAGGGCCTGGACAAGGACATAAACCATCGGCCAGTGTGGACAGAATTGCGGGGCACAGCCTGTGTGCATGCTCGCCCGGGCTTAGTCCCTGAGCTCTGTACGGCCAGCAGCTGGATGGCAAACCGCCGGATCAAGCCGAGGGACACCTGAGGTTTCTTCCAACCGAGCAGCGACACGCATGTCCGACACGCACAAACAAACATGCAGAGGCAATCAGAGAGACAAATGTATGTACGGATGTATGCGTGGATGGATTGATGGATGCAGCATGTGTGTATGCATGCTGGTACGCATGCATGCATGTGCACCTGTATCTGCAAGAAGCACATGGCATAAATTATTTACCTATCTGTCGATCTATATCCATCTATTCCCCAACCGCAAAGGAGTGGAGGGGGTGGTACACAATCCACGAGCACATGGTTCAGCGACAGGGGCTTGTGCACTGTATTCAATGCAAGGTGCGAAGGCTCCTGGTTTGGTATCGCAGCTGCACTCACGCAATAAAGCGGCGAGGCACCTCTGAAGAGCTATCTGTCAGCTTCGTTTCCGTGACTTTGGAGTGTTGGCCCCATGCTGTTTGGCGTCTTTGATGGCGCGCGTGCTATATCTGTAAACATATGAATCTTCCCTGTCGGTTGTACAGTGGTACATTATACAACAGTGCATGCACACATGATATAATATATCGAATCCTCCAGAAGGTCAGGATGAAGTGAACAATGACAAGAGCAACTGCCTCAAGAAGATGCCCACCGAGATATTGGGCACCGGGCTCCCTGGAAGTTGTTGTTCCTAGGTTGCATGGTGAGCCCTTCTTTGCATCGCGCTTGACAGTCGGTGTGACCAATAGACTCCATAGACCAACAAAACTTGCTTTCTCGGTCTGATCTCGCTCCTGATGGTTACAGCTCCTGCGCAGGTCACGACTTGACGAAGCTGGGTCCGAGTGTCTTGATGAACTCGTAGAGGTTGATACTCAGCAGCTCGAACGTGATGCACAGATGGTTCCTGCATAACCGACGAGCTGTTACAAAGCAAAGCCGTGCTGCCACAGGCTCCCTTGCCTGAAATAGAAGTAATCCAGCATGTGCACGACCTGCCATTCCAAATCTCCAGACAGCATGCGCTCGGCTGTCCGACCCTGTAGTAGACGACAGCGAACAGCAGGGACGGTGCTCTGCCAAAAGAGCGATGTAAACACGTCGGCATCCACGTTCGAGGTGCTTTCCAGATCGCGCTCTCTAAGATGCTCTAAAATCTTCACCTCCACCAGGGCCTCCAAAAACGGAGTCTATGCCACGTGCCCTGGTCCGTTGCAGCAGCCAGTCCTACCGTAACAATGCACGCCTGATGGTGAAATCGCTTCTTGTTGCGGACCTGAGGGGTGAACGGGTGTTGCACGGAGTTCAGGGCAGATTCCAAGCTTTGCGGCACGTGAACTCGTTTCGTCTCGGTGATACTGCCAATGCGGCATCATTGTCAGCCAAGCATCCATCTTCAAGGCGACGCAGTTGTTCGTCTTGAAATCGAACCTGGCACGTCTGGTTTTGAGGTGCATCGTCCAGATTATGTGACTCACCTCTCGTGGCTTGCCATGAATTCTGGAAGCAGACTTCAGCAACTGCTTGCGCAGGTCTGCCGTGTCGCCTTTTCGCGTGCACCGTCAATCGCTGAAGGATATGACCGAAGTTGCTACATCGCCGCAGCAGACCAGCTTCACGGGTTTCGATGTAAGCCGCGTTGTAGGACTGCAAAGGAAACAGGAACGGGCAGCGGCGCTTAGGGGTTAAGAATACTGTCGGGACGACAGAGCTTGATAATGGCCTGGTCCGGAGCCAGTACGGCCAGAAGCCGTCTCCAGCAGAATGCAACACTCGAAGCATTTCGGTGCGTGAAGGCTTTACCACGCTCTGGAATTGCGAAACAAATCCGACGAGCTGTTGCCAGCGGCAAGGGCGAAGTTCGTTGCTCGAGCGTGTTGCGAGTAGGCGCCAATGACGCCAGTGCCCCCTCCGCTCAATGAGCAAACTTCTCCACACTTGTTTCGACGGTACGGTGACGTTTTCTGCACGGGGATAGGATCGGGCAAGAGGCTTGGACAAGCTCGGGAAGTAAACATCGAAATCTCAGATCCAAGATTCTACCTTGGTGCATTCCGCTTCGAGAGGTGCTCGAGCTACAACTGTTGCAAAGCGAAGAATGCACCCTATATTCAGCTGGTCTTCAGCCTCTCAACACTTGCTCATGTTACCTGTTATTTTTGCAGGTAGTGTCTTTGCAGGTACCAAGGAACGGCATGCTATGCTGTTTCAGTAGTCTGCTGACTTGCACCAAACGACATGAAGCAATAACTCACAGGCCAACGACATGAGTTCGACTGCAGGACACTCCGCTTACAACGCTGTAGAGCCGCACTGATTTCAGTGCCATCAGCTGGTAACAAGGTGCCAGGCATGCGAGCGAACGACCTGCCCAAAGGAACCTTTGCCCAGTGGGTTCAGCACCTGGCTGCCAAGCTTACGCTGGTAAAGAAGATGACTGCAAAGCAGGAAGCCTCGTAGCGGTACAAGATGTGGTCGTGCCTAGGGGGCCAAAGGAGCTGAACAAATTATCGTGGTACTGAGTTTAGGGGGAGCCCCACAACCTGAGTCGACGCTCTGCACAACGTGGCCGTAGGGTCGACTAGCTAGTACTTGGTAAGCATTTCGAGTATCGTACCGGTACTTCTAGAGGGAGTGCTTGGAGGGTCCAAGCGGTGTCTAGGGCGGTTTGGGGGTTTAGTGGTAGTGCCGGAAGTGTCGGTAGGCCCGTGCACGCTTGGATACCGGCAGAACTACCATGTAGTCGCCACGCTCGTCGTCGTACGAGTGGTTATTTGCCGATGCCTTTGCACAATGCTATGTCGTTCACGTGTGGCTCAGTCATCTCAGGGTGCCGGACAGACGTCCCCCGAATTTTTGGAGCACCTGCACCAAAGTACCTGAGAAGCACTTCCGCGCACTGATGGCGTTGGATAGTCGCACCACTCCCTATCAATAACCGCGTCTTTTGCCCAAGGGCACCAGATTTGTGGGAAGTCCAAAATCTCCCCTTGCTCGAACTCTGTCAGCTCCTGAGACAATGTGATCTGCTCGCGGTCCTATGCTGCTGGGGATCAGCGGCAAAGGCTGATTCTAGCATGCCAACCCACATGACTCCTCGATGTGATGCTTGAGCACCTGGACATTTCACGCTTCTTGTGTCTGTGGCCAGTTTGGGCTTCGGCTTTCGGCTACAACAGAGCACCGGGAAAATGTACGAAAGAGGTCTGCAAAGCTCTACTCCCCCTTCCTGCGAAATTCTGTGAGCAGTTGCCGCCTTCGCCGGGCTGAGAGGAATCTCCAATTTCAACTTTTCTTTCTCGCGCTCCTGGTCACAAAGGCTGTGTCAGGTGGGAACAAAAGACAACAGGAAGCTTTGGGAATGCAGGACGTCGATCTCACTTCTCATCTGCTGGAACAATAACGCAAGACTGGCAAAGAGGAAGGACTAGAAAAGGATGATGCACGCCGTCCTTCTCTCTTTCTCTTTCCCTTTCCTTCTCCTGCTCCAGACGTTCCCGCTCTCGTTCCCGCTCCTTTTCCTTTGCCGCGAATTCACACTTGATCACTGTCATTGTCATGCTCAAAGCTCTGGTTCACAGCGATCTGGGCCCGAGTGCAAGAGACCTCTCGAAGATCAAAGGGTCTGCCAGAGCTGCGGCTCTATCCTAGCGGCATGCCGGGGTTGCGGCTCGTTCTCTTTCCCTTTCTGCCTGAGACAGCGGCTCACAGACGGGGAGACAGCAGATGTTGCTTCACAGCATTCCATCTCATCACATCGTGAGCAGGAACACAAGGTATTCCGAGGAGTGAGCTCGCTCGGCTTGGAGCTGGCTGTGGATACTCGCAGCTGGCAGGTATCATCAAATTATTCAGCGGGACCGGAGTGACAGGAGAATCGGAGAACCCAAAGACGCTGAAAGCTTTGCTGGCAAAGATCCCCTGCGGTATTCCTCTACGTCACGGGGTCTTTCCGTGGTATGAGACAGGTTGGCAGAGCACGTCAGATTTGTAGAGTTCAGTGAACTGCCGGGGGCACAGGAGATCATCGGCGTTGTGCCCGACAGCAGGCCGCCGTTCAAGAGCTGTTCCTGACAAGACGCGATCGGCAGGAATGGAGCATGATGCCTTACGGTTGTGCTTGAGAGCCTGCAGGCATCAGAAAGCTCAAACTGCCGCTCTGTGCAGAAAATCGTGTGGAAGTCGGAAATAAGGCACCTTCTGCGCTGCCCAGGACTGGGAGCCTGCTCAGACTTATCTCACGCCATGAAGGAAGCGGACGCTGACAGCTCAAGCCCGAGGATGTTAGGCTTTCAGGTTTCGGCCGAGCGCTGGCCATGCACTAGCTAGTCATAGCTAGTCCGTGACCCGGCCTCCTTTGGAAGAAGGCCGTGCAGTCAGGGAGCCGCGCGTGCCAGGGACCTCTGCGAATCGAAATGCAACTTTTACCGAGATCGGGGAAACAATGCATCTGCCAAGCAATCACAAAACAGGAATCCACCATAGGCCATGGGACATAACATATAAGCAACCCTGCCTGTTTAGTCAGAACAGTGCATCAGACCGGCGTGGTCGAAAGCTTGCGAGGTCATTAGTAGCAGAAAGCCCGCTCATAAAGTGGAAATCTCGCTTTCAGACGCTACAGACTGGCACTAAGCTCAAGGTTCAGTTGTCGCTGAAACAAACGAGGCCCTCACAGTCGGATCGCGCGCGCCGCCTGACCTTGCAAAGGCTCATGTGTGATGTGTTCATTCAGTGCGGCATTCTTTGGATCATACTTGGAGTAGAACGGTGTTGGTTAGGTCCCAGGCGAGCGTATCTGCCGCGCCGTCATTGACCCCGAGCTGACACCTGGAAGCCACAAAGCTGGAATCAGAACCGGTATGCCTGAAAACCTCCCTGGATCTCCCAGGTCATGCATCGCAAAACTCCTTGCCCTGCAAGTTTCTCTTTCAGGACAGCTGGCGTCCCAACCGGCGACATGGTTCAAGGTAAGAGCCTGGATGCCGGTAGCCTGTCCTGAGGTAACTGCCTCCAGGGTCCCGGGAGCTGGCGGCGTGGCTGGCGGCCTCGCCAAGGAGCGGCGAAAAGCAGAGGGATTCAGGTGTTTTTAATTGCGGAGCCGGTGCCTGCTCATCGAGTTGCTGCTGCTGTTTGGACGGCGCCTGGGACACGGCGCTTGCCAGGGCATGTAGAACGGCATGGGCCAAGGTGCACAAGATTGCAGACACTCGCTCCAGTGGCTCCCAGGTGCTTCCCGGCTTCTCTGAGTGCGCAGCAAATGGCTGTGGCAGCTTCCCAACATGAAGCCTGCACACGACTTGCATAGTGGGTGCCTTCTGATCGCAACAACGTTTCCTTCAAGATTTCAGCATTCTGAGTCTGTTGCTGCGGTGCCCAGTTGGAGGTAGTGGAGCTCGCGGCCAAACCACCACCTTCAGGAATCCCGGGATCACTGAAACGCGACGCAGGTCTTTGAAAGTGCAACAGCCACCATGCCTGCACCATGGCCGACCGTCATGCTAGAGGAGAAGGTCGCACCTGCGAACCCGAGCTCAAACGTGGAAGTCCTTGTGACGGAGAATAGATCGAGCCTAAGCGGTTGCCGTGAGCGCTGCGGGGAACGGGACCCCCCTGCCATTCATGCCACTCGCATCTACGTGCAGCATCGCCGTAGCAACACTCTTACATGTCACTTCAAGTGGTCTTCCTGAGACTCTCAAAGGCTTTATATGCGTGAGAGATGTCGCAGTGGACCGGCGATGAACGGAACTTGCCCGATCGGCCTGATCTTCCGGCTTGCTAAAGTGAGAGGATGCATGGAGGGGAGCCAGGCCCCCATTCCGGTTCCTGAGTGCTTTTTTTAAGCTGAGCAGCAAGGAGGGGGGTGTTGAATCTACCCACATGCTCCGACACCATCAGAAGGATGATCTTTGTTGCGGCGCTGAACAACTCAGATCATGACATCCGTGGGATTTCGCCTTGCAGCGACTCTGCAGTGGAATCTCTAAATCTGACACTCCTCAACACCATCCCGTGGCCTCCACGGGTGCTGGGCTTGGAGGCGGCCCCAAGCCTGCCAGAAATGCGGTGCTTCGGTGCTTCTTTTCCGTTGGGGCTCTTCCCCTTGCCATCGCTGCCTTCCTGAAACGCGCAAGAAACTTTCAGGCCAAGGGCCGCGCGACGGGAGCGTGTCATTTTTCGACCAATCCATTCGCCTGCACGGAAAGGGCATGAGCGACTCGAGCCACTCTTTTTAAAATGCGCGCGCACACACACACACACACATATACAGTAAATTGTCAACTAGTCGAATCTGCCTTGAACATGTTCATGAAGGGAGCACACGGAAGGCACATGCAAATTACATCACCTTCTCTTGGATTCGAAGCTGTGATCAGCTTCGAGTCTGGGTTTTTTGCCTTAGCACCGAAGCGGTCGAACCGACTTTGAGGATCGCGCCTGGGCCGCCCTGGGCTCTGCGCCCTGGGCTCCGTGCCCCGCGGGGCCCTCCTTTCTAATGATCTTCCAGAAGGCCGAGGCGAAGCAAAGCACTTGTCCGGCGCGGCGAAGTGGGTGAGCTCTCAGCTTGGGTGCGCAGCACAAGCCGGGACAGCGCACCCGTTTTGAGCAGTGAAGCAACGACTGAAGCGTGTGTCATGCAATTGCCAGGTCCCAGCATAAGAGCAAGAGCCTCATCTGCAAGATGGATGCGCTGTGCTTGCATTTGGAAAATCTTGGTCCGAGTTCGTCCGACTGCGGGTCCTGAGCAGATAGGTCATTAGACATGGGAAGCGCAAGGAACTGCAGCGCCTGCCGCAGCAAGCGGTCGTCTGCTAAAGTAATTAGAGAAATTTGGCAGACGGCAGGATTCCCCAGACCTCCCGCTAAAAAACAAATTTGGAAGTAGGGCCATTCCCAGGTCTTTCCGACTCACGTTATGATCCGATGCGGCATGCAACTGCGAGGCTTGTGACTTCGTGCGACGTCAGAAAGACAGCAGGAATCCGCCCACAGATGTTGCATTGCCGTGAGGAGGCTGGTCACGCCGAATTTCATGCATCCGAACACTATCTCTCGTAGAGGTACAAAGACACACAAGCTGTGTAACAAGTGCTTTTCATGCTGCTGCGGGAGACATTGGTCAAGCGTCCTTCTCATGCGGTGAGCGTAAGTTTCACTTCGCGCGACGCTCGCTTGGCTACCTGCCACAGAGGTTCACAGCAACAAAAACTCTTCCAGCTCTGCATGGCAGGGGTCGTCGCAGGCCCCACCTTGAGCTGCTCGAAAGCTTGACGGCTACTGGGCCGTTTTTCGTAGTGGAAGCTGAGGCAACTGCAAGCAAGTCTCAGAAGCGGCCAGAAGCATTGGAAGCTTCAACCCCTCAAGCGTCTGCAAAACATCGCTCCAAGCTGCACCTGCTGCAAATCTCTCGCATCGAGCCGAATATGAAGTCAGGAATGTCGGGCGTGCGCCTGCCGGCCGGTTGCGACACCTTTGCGAATCCTGCCACCCTGCTGGATGCACCCTTTCGAACCCTTGCCACTCGAAGTCCAGGTTTCTTAGCGCGTTGGTCCTGGTCTTGGCCGAACCCTTTTATCTGCCTGTTGATAAGCATCTCTTTGGTGAGGTCAGCCAACGTTGTGATGTTCTCATAGGGTAGAGGCCCACCGCAGACCTGCCAAGAGCTGCAATCGCAATTCGGTCAAAATGTAACCGCCGTAACCTCTGGACCCAACCAACATCAAAACATCCCCAACTGTCAAGATGTCAAAGGACCGGACCTCCACAAAGATGCAGCCCATAGCCCAAACCTTCGTGGAACACCGGCTGCCGGTCGAACTGGCTACGGAAGGCTTGGGCGAGTGCATCGATCTTTTCCGTGATCTTCGTCTTGCTGTCAAAGAGCTCCGGTGCCATATACCTGGTTTAGGTGTTTTGCAAGACATTTCCTACGGGATCAGCCTTGCTTGACAACACTGCCTTGGAGAGCCACCGTTGTTCTTCTTGGTGATGTGCGTGCGACTGGGGCAGGTCAATCGCTCGCGGCAATTCTGTCGTTTCATGCTGAGCTGGTGAAGCTGTCCAAGAGCCGGTCATGTTTGAGAGTTTGCATACACCGAAGAACACAAATGTGGAATCCGAGTTCTGACGGAATACCCAAAAAGCCGATGCTCTTGAGACTTAAACTATGCCAAAGCCCGTTATCAAGGGATCCAAGGATGGATCTCTGCAGACTGGTACCCCCAGCATGGACAGGCGAAAATGCAGAGAACAGGAAGTCAGCTCATCCAAGACGATTCTTACCAGTAATGTTTCAGAATTCCCAAATATGGCTATGCGATCCTGTTATCCCAGGAAGCTACCTGCAAGTGTCATAATTGAGTTAACTGTGTGCGCGCAAACTTATTGCACGTGTACTGTTGGTTCGGTTGCGCGCAAACAAGCGGACAGACAGACAGACAGGCCGACGGACGGAC